AAAGTTAAGATCCTTCGAGAATCTCATGACGCGTTACCAGCGTCACATGGCTTCCGCTGTCATAACAGTGTTTTAGTGAACGCTCCAGAAGAAGCTGTAAAGCGAAACGTTGAATGTCTAATTAAATACAAAAGTACATTTTGGTCTTATAAGGTCATTTATTTCTAGTATTAATATGTCTTTTATACTCCAATATGCACTATGGAAATTACATAATGAATCTACACGCCTAACAACAAACAAACACAATTTTTTCAGAATATTAAAATACATTTATAATATTATGGAATAAGTATATTCTATTGAGTTAGTGAGATTTCAAGCGAGTTATCAAAAATATTTCAGATGTAGGACAAATTTTTAAACAGAGCCTTTTTTTTGCCCAATTCGTTTAATATCTTATGCTATTTTATCAATTGCAATTAACAATATGATTCTCCAAGTCTCGTTTATGTTTAAATAACACAATTTTGTTGTTCATTCGTGTCATTAAAGATAGATCTTGAAACACGTAACATTTTCTGCTTATTTTTCAGTTCTAACAAATTTAGTTAAGTTTATAAGTATTTGAGAAGTATGAGTTGTTTTTTTCTATATTTTCATAGACTGGGAAACTCGCTTTCAGTAGTAAAAGTGTAAATAAATCTGTTTTGTACTTGTACTGTAGTGTCACGTAACGCTTATTTCATACAAATATGTATGAAATTAGATTTTAATGTTACTTTCATGGGTCGTCTTTTCTTTCGGTAAACATTATAATGTTAAATTGTGTTTTTAGTGATTATGAGTAGCGTGTCTTCTATGTCCGTAAATTGTATATATTAAGTTCTTGCAAGTTGCAGAACTATCACTAATTCGTAAGACTTGGGTAAAACTAAGGAAAGTGAAAGTAGGACCTGACTCGACTGGACTTTTAGTCTTAATTATGTGTAACCTGTAAACAGTACAGTCAAGCTGGTCTTGTGATTTGATTGTCACTAACAGTGTGACACGTATTTGGTTCTTCACATGGTTAGCACTAACAGAGAAGTGATAGTAATTTGATAGTGAATCTGAGCGTAGTGAATTAGTCTAAAGTTAAGTATAAAACACGTAAGTAAAGTATAACTATTAAGTATAACCTTTTGAATCATAAGAAAAGGTTACTCCTAATTGAACACAACATCCAAATTGTTATAGCTTTTATAGAAAAGATACTGGAAGGAAATTATATTAATTATGTCACATGAAAATTTCAAACTTCAAGAAGGACATCCAGCGACTTCAAGTTCAACAGAAGATAATCAAATGAATGTTGATGTATGGATGCCCCTGGCCATAACTCATATAGAATATCCACCAGGTAAGATACCATTTTAAAACATTGATATATTAAGATAAAAATTTCAAAACCAAGGTGTAATATAAAATTCTTACTTAGTAATCAGTGATTTGTGTGGTTTAATTATTATTATTACATAATACTGTTGCTGGTTTTTAACTGAATTTGTATCTAATATGCATTAAATTTTGTCTCACAACATGTAATCTTAAAGTCAAAAGTTAAATGATCTGTGATTTAATTTTCTGATGTATATAGATTAAACTAGTGTTCAGGAACTACTGGTAGTATCCCTAGTTATTATTATTACCTGGAATGAAAAGGTTGTTGTTTTTCCTCTAACTTTAAACCAGCATAAAAAAAAAGATATCGGATTATGAGAGTTATCATTAGCTTTTGAGTAATTTAACAGTATTACGTCTCTTAGTTTATCGGTTTATCTGAAATAAAATGTCATTTGCAGGTATTTAAATTTCTGAAGTTGTCTGTGAAATTTTGAAACAATTAAATGTTAGGTGTAGTTTGCTAGATTAACAGCAAATTTGGACTTACCTAGAAATACATATAAAAAAATATTCAGTCATAGTAAGAGATTATTTAGAGTAGCTTGTGTTTGACTGTCTTTGTACTTTTAAATTAAAAGCTGTGCAGAAAAAAAGAAAAGTATTTAATAATGTTTGACAGATTTTCAAGATAATTCATGTTCATAGTGAGAAAAAAATTAAATTTTATAGTGATATAACACTATCATATACATGTTTTTTTATATGTTATCTTTGACAGGAGATATTTTTGGCAAAGGACTAGCCTTAATGAGCCTGCTTCCTTTGGTCATTATTTCAGGATTTGTTACTCTTATCCTTTTCCGGAGAGACTTGCACACAGTAAGAAAAGTTAACAGTATTAATTAATGCAACAAATTCTATCTAAATAAAGGGTAAATATTGTTCCAAAAGATCCCAAAATTCCCTGTACCTTTATTCAAGACTCCTAAAGTTCTTTCTTAATTTTTCACTGTGTTTGATATGTTGATAACAGAACTATAGAAGTTAGGCTTCAATAACAAACCCCAATAATTGATATACAGTATTTGTTTTCTCATATTTTTCATTTTTCTTCTCTTTTTCCCAAATTTTAAAAATCTTAAAATTATTCCTGTATGTTTTAAACATATATTTAGAAGAATATTTATTCCTGATATAAAAATACATGTATGAGTTCAAGTACCAGTAATTTTTAAAATTTTCTTACCAGTATGTATATCTGCTTCATTCAAGGCTTCTTTACATATGTAAACATATTTAAGTAGTTATAAACAGTCATCTGAATTAAACTGTTCTTTTAGGTTTCGTTATGAAGAAATTCTGATTAATGAACATTTTATCATGCACGTGCTTAGCAATCTTAATTTGTGCCAATTTAAACTAGTAAGGTTACTTGTAAATTTTCAGATGTACCTTCTATTTAAAGTTAATAAAAATGTATGGATAGGTTTAATAATAATCGGAATATTTTTCTTTCAAATTCTGCTACATTGCTTACAGTAATTTTAGCCTCCAATGCTGAATTCGAATAAAAAGAAAATAACGTAGTTTAATTTTGATGTTTTGAGTTTTTGCTTATAAAGTAAAAATAAAAACAACACAAAAACGAGTTGGACTTGCCCTTATATTTATTTTGCATGAAAATGACCCATGTTTGGAAGAGTGCCTTTTTGCCCTACTGTTGTTTATTCAGGAGACCTTTGTTAGTTATAGTTTTCTTTGTTTTGCACCGAAAGGTGATAGTTACATTCTCATGAATGATTACTTCCCACAGATCTCTTTCTTTCTTGGAACTGTTGTTAATGAATTAGTTAACCTGGTGCTAAAGCATTTGATCAAAGAAGCAAGACCATGCAGAGGTGGGTTCGTTTTAAATGTAGAGAAAGTTCCCTTTTAATTAATTAATTGAAAATAATTTTGTAATGGTGATGTATGCAACTAGTTTGACAAAATCAATAGTTTTTTTATTTGTATAAACTCAGTATCATACCATTATTATATGTTAAAGGTTTGGGGTTCAAGGAGGTATAGCTAATTAACTATATAAACAAATAACGGAGTAAGATATACTTTCAAAGGAAAACCTTCCAAAATGCCAATTGGCCTAAGGAATAATTTAATACATACCACCTATTATTGGATTATAAATCTTGAGCTATATAATTCATAAAATTATCACTATGCTTGTAAATTCTATAACTTTCGGATATATTAATTAATGATTTAGCCTCCTGTTGGTGATTTTATGCTCTTATTTATACATGTACTGCTTTGTTGTGGCTTTTCAGGAAAATGGAACTCACGGTGACAAATCAGTCTTGTATTTAATGTCTTAAACAACACGAAATTTGACTCTTATTGTAAAAAATCAGAATGTTCAGAACTCTGTCTTGACCAGGGCTTGAACGTATGGTTCTCAGTTCATACCAGTGCTCTGTTATTAGCACTAAAGCTAATAGAGTTTTAGGGTGTATCTATAGGTATGTTAATTACCAGTCAAAAAGAGATAATTATTTCTCTGTACACATTACTTGTTAGGCCTCACTTGAAATAGTATGTACAGTTTTGATTTACTTATCTAATAGAAAGTATATTGACTTACTGGAAATGGTTTTTCAGAGGAGGGTTACTAGGATGATTTCATGGATGTAAAGGTTATTTGAAAGTGATGGGTTAAGATCTCTTGAGAAAAGAAGAATAGAAGGTGATTTAGAGATAATAGAATTAAAAAAAGACGAACTATAGTCCAGTTAAGATAATTGCTTTTCTAACTGTTTGACTTGTGAAATTAGTTGTTGTTAACAGTAATGGAAGCCAGCGTTTTACGGGAATTTTAGAGAGAAATCAATGGTTTCCTGAGAGTTGAAGATTGAGTTTAATTTGTACTCTTACTTAGAGTGGGTGTGTTGTGTCGAGTATTTTTATGTATTTTATTGTGTATTTTTTAGTGTATTTTATTTTTGTGTTGTGTCGAGGCAACATTTACCGGACATAACTCTAATTCCAGATTCTATAATAATATCTAATTGGCAAAAAAAAATTGCAGAAACTTTATGTAATTCAGATTTTTTTTTGTCTTCAACACCATGCCAATGAGTGATGATTTGAAGGGAGAATTTATTTTTATTTTGGAAACGATACAGGAACAATTATTGGGGCAGAAGTGCTTAAAGGGAGGAATACGATAACCCCCCAGCTATCTGTGGACAATGTCTCCAGCTTGGGTGCCAGGTCTTGTCTAATATCCAGGTTAAATTTTTCCGTACTAGGTTCCATCACTGCTAATGATGCTATAAAATGTATAAGAAAGTGGAAAAATAACTTTGGTTTCATATGTGTTATACATCGTCAATCTCAAGCTAAAAATTTCACTTCTTAATGAAAAAAATTGATGATTGATTCTGTTTGTAACACACGTTCACAATTTTCTGACATTATTTGAAGTTTTTTGAAAAATGTTCAGATGACTAGTTTTTTTTCCAGTGTAAATGTTTTGAGTTTAGTCACAAACTGTAGCACACCAATACTCGTCACATATGAGCTAGGCCCAGCAAAGGTTCTGACCCACAGATTCCTTAGACTTCTAGATGGTTAAAAGCTCCTTTTTCAGTTATTTGTTATCCTCAGTTTTTCAACTCATTGTTGGATAAAAATTCATAAGTTAAATATCAAACAAAGAAATCAATTTATCAAGAAGATAGACTTAATATTTTGTTGGAGAAAGAAGTTTCCTTTTTAAGAAGCCATTGGTACTTTACACATCAGTTAATTTAACTCTCTGGATACGGGTAGGTAAAAGTGTGCGTGTCAAGGCCCTTTTACAGGGATACGTTCAAAATTTCATTAAACTACTTTATTATAAATGTATGTTTATAAACGTGTCATCAAAATGTAACTAATAAATCAAATTTTAATCTTGGATAATTGTTAATTGTATCCTATGTGTTGTCAACAATTCAGGTTGGACAAAAACTGTCCAGTTTTCAGAGATACATTTCTGTTGAAATACAATAAAAAAAATTAAACAATGTGTCTGGTTTCTGAAAAAGAAGGGTTTGTTATACATTAAAAGAATGAAAATAGAAGTGAAAAATTAGGACTTAAAGGATTGTCCAGTTTGAAAGGAATTTTGTTTACATGAGGATCTGGTTTTGAGGGATTCCTATGTACTTTAAATGATATTACTGGTAGTGGGAGGTTTAAACGGTTACTTGAAACTTGTGCTAAAATGCAAAAAAAACATTATTCTTTTAATTTTGAGATTCAATTCAAAATCAATGTCTCTATAGCAAATATTATTACTATTAAAGCTAACGATGGCAACAATATTTTATTTCTGGCATAACTACTTTCTCAAAATAAATATTTTATACAATGAACTATTGTTTATGGACCCATATATTCTGGGATTAGTATGTATTTACCAAAGTAGGCTATAATCTTGGGTCTTTAAGCTCTTTGTAATACTTTGGATTTAAAATATTTATTGAAAATGGTATTTTGTTCATCAAAACATGGAGTAACTAAAAAGTTTTTACCAAATAACTTTTATTTCTGTAAATGGAACAGATCCATTTAGATTTAATTCCAATACTGGATACTTGCTTACCTAACGAACACAAAAAAGACAAGATATGTAGCAAAGAACCACATAAACTGTGTGTGATTGGATGGCATTCCATACTCGGAGTACAGATTTTCTCTCCCTAAAAAAAATAAAAATAAAATAAAATATGACTGCCACTCGTAACAGTTATAAAAGTGAATAGACATATCATACTCTTCAAATTGGAAAAAAAAACCATTAGTAATATAACATGCAAGCGGAAAGAGAAGAGAAATTAATTTGATTTGACTTATTACACAAAGTTATGATAAACAAATCATGACAAACATGATTATGTTATATACATAATAAAAACACAATGAAAAATTAGAGTAAAAGTCAAAAATAAATATGTACAACTCAGATGTATACAATAATTAAAACTATTTAACAACATAAAGTGGATTTTTCCTTTGTCTCTTTATAATCAAAAGGCTTACTCAAGTAAATAAATCTTTATCTCCCACTACAACGATCGCAATCACAAGTAACTATAGAATTGAGAAAAACAAAGACACACAAATATTTCACTTATTACTACAATGCTTAAATAAATAAAATAAAAAACATTAATTTTGACCAATTTTGACCCCGTGTTTGAAATTATTTTAGAAAAAAAATATTAAAAAGAAGGGCCAAATTTCATATTTTAATAGTTTAATAATTTTGTTTCTGCATTTTAGAGCTCGGTAGGTAGGTTCAAATTCACGCAAGCCCACATACTAAGCTGACACTTGTTTCCATAGCAAAGGTGGTGGGTGGCAGAGAGCTGCCTTCCACCTGGTGATCAGTTTAAAATTAGGGATGGTTGCAGATAACATCAGTAGATTTGCCAGAAACACAAATACTGTGATTTTTGGGTCACATAAACGAAATTTTAGTGTGGAATAATTGAAGACAGAAGAATATTGACAGTGACAAATGTTTTACACTTGTTGAAGTTTTGCTACAAGGGGAGAGTCACTGATAACAAATGTTTCTGATGAGATTAGACTCTTTTTTTTTTTTATCTCTATCGGTCATTTAAGTTATGGTCAAAGTTTCTGTCGGCTGTAGATGTACAATACTTATTATTTCTTAAGAAGCTGGCTGCTTAAAGTGCTTTAATAAGATTACTGATGTGAGTACTAACAGAATTTTCTTAACCTATTTATTGTTTAGTTAGACAGTGGACTATGTTATAGTAGGTTTGGGACATTGTTAGTGATGAATTAATTATTTGTATTTCTAAGATACACATTTCAAAGGTACATTAATTTCTGTTTGGGCAAGAAACTTAGAATAAAAACAGAGGCCTGGTGAGTTATACACTGTAGTGCTACTGTTCGCACTGTGAAGTACGTCAGATTACAAGAATAAGTACATGGGTGGTACAAAGTAGGTAATAAAACCATGAAATGAAAGGAAAATAGTTGAAATTGTGAAGATAATTATGTTAAAGATGTGGCAATAAATGATACATTTACAGAAGAATAAGTACTTGGGTGATACGAATTAGGTAATAAATCTCACTTTTACTTCATACTTTAATTTAAATATTTGTTCCGTTAGTTTGTGAGCAAACGTGGTGTACTAAACTTTTATTTTTATTTTCTTTTTAGACTGCATCATGCTAACAATTGTTCTCCATTAGAACATGCTTGGAAGTTTATGGCAGTGACTGGTGGGTTTGGAGCTGCCATGGCTGTGTCTTATAGCAGGTACAATATTACGTCAGCATCAGTAAACATAAAACAGATATAGTGGTTGCTCAAAATATTTCATTTTAATCTTTCTGACAAAGTATTTTTATTAGGTATGTTTACTACATCTTCATTCTTTGGTTTCCTTTATGAAGATAAAACTTTTTCATCGGGATGAGCAATGGACGTGTTTTGGAGGATGCACTGCGGTTTAATTAAAGCTAATCCTACTTTCTATTTTAGTGTCTCATCCACAAGAGTTTTTTTTTTTTACCCAAACAACTTAAAATAACATCAACATGTAAACAAAATAAATAATTTTACGGAGTTAAATGTTTTTTCTTAGTTATTGGATAAAGTTTTGTTAGGTTCGTTTTCATTGGTAGCCATTTTACAGAAAGCTGAAATTTCGTAGTAATAATACGTTAATTGCAGGATATGCTTATATTCTATTAAAGGCTACAGTTAGTATGTTAATTTAAAGGTGGACAGTTAGTGGAATTTCCTAATCAGCTAATCTTCAACCTCATTAATTGATTATGTTCAACAAATCGATTATTCTTATGCAAGTTTAATCTTCTTTTTTAGCGTTTTTTTTTAAAAACATTTTCAAACTTCATTTAATATGACAGACATATTCAAGTACAACAACTTAGATGTGGCTTACTTTTATATTCCTAAACTGTTGTATATAAAAGATATCATACTTCTAGTGTAGTAAAAAGCTGAAAATACAATTAATATTGTTTTGTGTGTTTCTCCCTAAGAAACTTTCGCAACAATGCTACAGTAAAACTTACCGTATTTTTCGGAATATAAGACGCACCCTTATTATGAAGACAAAGTTTTGGGGGGAAAAGCTACAGTCGCATTTGAAAGATTTTTATTGAACAAAAATTCAATTCGAGACTTTAAAAATTTGTATATATTGTTCTAAATGCAAAAGAGCTCAAAACATCAAAATAAGAAAAATACCGTAAATCAAAAAAAGGTTTACTGTTATTTAGTTTGGTTCAAAACCTACAAAATATTTATTGCTTTCACTGTAATATATTATTAAATTATTTAGGAATCATTATAAATAGTTATGTTTTTAAAAGAAAAAAAACTACTATTGTTATAAATAACACATTCAATTGAACTAAACTATGCATGCCTATTTAAATACATTTACACATGGCTTGTATATATCGTATATATATATACAAATATATTATTCATATCTTTGATGTATAGGACACAAGCAGATTTTGACATCAAATTTTGGGGTAAAAAAGTGTGTCTCATACACCAAAAAATACGCTAATCATTTTCTAAAAAGTAAGCAATGACTTTCACTTCAGTTCAACAGTAGGTCGCAGAAAGCCGTTGCTTTTTTACCCCAAATTGAAGAATAAATTCATCAATAGAATATCTGTAAAATGTATAAAAGGTTCCAATGTATATAATGATAATAATAATAATTTATTTATTGTGTAGTATATAATATATAATTAATACATGAAACCGTCGGTACTTGGTGAAACTCCATAATTACAGAATTAAAGAAAAATAAGACAGTTGTACGTTTCACACAAATACATCATTTAATCACGACCATGCTTATGCCGTGATTACCCCTTTCTTGGTGAAACTGTGGTCGTAATAAGTGATGTATTTATGAAACGTACAACTGTCTTGTTTTTCCTTAATTCTGTAGTATATCATGATTTTTGTTTGTGACTTCATTATGTGATAAACCAAGTCATATAAGCCCAGTTCTTTATTACTGATTCACAGACAAAATTTCAGATTTCCTTAATCTTTTGAAAAAAATTGAATGTTTATTTAGACAGAACATGCTTTAGCAGTAAAGATGAGTAAAGTTGATCCAGTTCATTGTTCAGTCAGCTTATCCATTGAAGTACCCTTTAGTATCAAACCAGTTCATTGTTCAGTTAGCTTATCCATTATAGTACCCTTTAGTATCAAACCATTTCATTGTTCAGTTAGATTATCCATTGAAGTACCCTTTAGTATCAAACCAGTTCATTGTTCAGTTAGATTATCCATTGAAGTACCCTTTAGTATCAAACCAGTTCATTGTTCAGTTAGATTATCCATTGAAGTACCCTTTAGTATCAAACCAGCTCATTGTTCAGTCAGCTTATCCATTGAAGTCCCCTTTCATATCAAACCAGTTCATTGTTCGGTCAGCTTATCCATTGAAGTACCCTTTCATATCAAACCAGTTCATTGTTCTGTCACTTTATCCATTAAAGTACCCTTTAAGTATCAAACCAGTTCAGTGTTGAGTGATTAGTATAGTTTTCACAACAAATGTAACCTTAACAGTGTTTTTAATACAGAGACTTAGAGTAATTCAGATATTTACACCGCAAGAACTCTGTTTGTTTTATATGATTCGTAACTGTATCAATACATGTTTAAGAATAGAACTAATTATCCCCAACTACATAAGTAGCGGGAGATTATAAAGAAAACCTATTTTTAAAAATGATTACGTGTTAAAAAAAGTAATTTGTCCAAGAGGGACTAAATATCATCAGATGTGATGTTGTTGTCAACACTTAAATAGTTTTATCAGTTTCCAGACAAAAAAAAAAAGCTATAGTAGTCTCCGTAACCAGTCACAAAAAGGTTGGGGACCAGAATATATTTGTATATTTTTTTAAACTTACTCAAGCTTTGTTGTTTATTGTTTTCTACACTGTACTATTTTTAATACTATCAGTTATTGCCATCATGTATGGAATTGGGATATATCTTGTCTTTAGTCTGAGTCGTTGGGTTCTGTTTAATTGTTTAGAATATATCTCCAGTATCACACATGGCTACAAGTCCTCTGCGGGTCTGCTATTGGGGTTATCGTAGCTGCAGCTTGGTTTGGAGTCACACAGTTTCTCCTAACCCCTCTCTTTCCAGTTATTATGTCATGGTAAGTTTTGTCAACACCATTATGACTTCTATCTTTTAATTAACTGAAATTACACTAGATAAAAGATTGTTATTTTTTGTTCTGTGTCTTATAAAAAAAAAGAGACGAGACTCTAAAGTTTATTGCTTCTACCAATCGGAATCGAAAAACCTAATTCAAAGTTTTCTGACACATTAGATTCCCAGAGATGAGGCATTTAGTTTTGTCTGTGTTGAAAGTCATTTGGTTGTGTTATCATGATTATATTGAAACAAAATTACAGACAAAGCAGTCTTTTAATAAACAATGTAGTGACTACATTCGTTTGTACAGTGTACGATAAGGCATGGTGAGAGCGACTTCAGTAAATATGACAAGTTTAAAGCTAGCATGTTTTTTCTGAACACCCTGTATCTTCACACAAGACATTTCGCTGTTTGACAAAGACATAGATATTGAAGAGAATTTATCATATGTGGGAATTTAGTTACTTTGTGTGAACTTAAGTTTTCTTTTAGCTTTACTGTTTGTAATTGTCAATAACTTTTGATCAACTGTTCATGTCACCTGTAGCACGGTCCTTTTTTTGTTCCCTTTTAAACGTTATTTACTTAGATTTAAAACTTATTCAAGTAAGACTGCTATTAAGTTGTTTGTTGAATTTTAAATAAGATGCAGGTTGGTTAATATTTCAAAGTGTTTGCAGAAATAAATTTGTTTCATGGAAAACCTTTTTTTTTATCCTCGTCAGGCCAATTAGCGAGTTCTTGATGATAAGAGACACGACTTTAATCCCAAACATCATGTGGTTTGAGTATACGCAACATCGAACCGAGGCCAGGTGAGACGGTTGTTTTTTTAAGGCTTCTTTACAACACACACTTCTTTTTATATTAACTGGTTAAAACAATAAGTAGCTGATGTGTACACATCAGCTACTTATCGTTTTAACCAGTTAATATAAAAAGGCAAAAAAGTGTGTGTTGTAAAGAAGCCTTAAAAAAACAACCGTCTCACCTGGCCTCGGTTCGATGTTGCGTATACTCAAACCACATGATGTTTCCTTACACATCAGCTACTTATCGTTTTAACCAGTTAATATAAAAGGCAAAAAAGTGTGTGTTGTAAAGAAGCCTTAAAAAAACAACCGTCTCACCTGGCCTCGGTTCGATGTTGCGTATACTCAAACCACATGATGTTTCCTTTATCTAAAATGTCTTTCTATCTAAAAGTAATTATTACTGCTTGTGGTCAAAAACGGGATGAAATAATGTCTTCATTTATGGATAGATCAGAAGGGTCTAGAATCTCCGTACAACAAATATAAATAACAAGAGTAGTCTTTCTCTAACATTAGATTAATTAAACTTACCTCGGTAAGATACTCAGGTAGTATCATATGTAACTAGGTGTTAATTGTAATATCTTGATAGTATTTTTGTGTCATGAATTTTTTCTCTGTAAGATACTCGGGTAGTATTATATGTAACTTGGGGTTAATTGTAATATATTGATAGTATTTTTGTGTCATGAATTTTTTCTCTGTAAGATACTCAGGTAGTATCATATGTAACTAGGTGTTAATTGTAATATCTTGATAGTATTTTTGTGTCATGAATTTTTTCTCTGTAAGATACTCGGGTAGTATTATATGTAACTTGGGGTTAATTGTAATATATTGATAGTATTTTTGTGACTCCTGGAACCCTGCAACCAATGAATTCATGGATTCACAGGAAATTTGGTGCACGATTAGTTTACAAAAATATCTTTAATGAAATGTGTTTAATAAAACAACTCCACCTGTAATTCTAGTTCTAATGAATTAATAAAAAAAAATTATTCCTTACTGAACCTTTTTGTTTTCTAGAGCAAGACAGCGAAAACTTGTTTGAACGAAGTCCCAGTAAGAGACAACTCGTCTGCTCAATCATGATCCTAATCGCTGTATTTACTGTGTCCTGATGTAGGGCTTGTATTTTTATACACTCTGTATCATTAAGCCTGGAGTATCAAATTTCAAATGGAAAAATCAACTGATAAGGTGTACAGTTTTCAATGAATAACAAAAAGAATTAACTGGATTAAAGAGATTTTGTTGTAATTTTTAAGAATTATTACTTGGCTGATATTTGTATAGTAACTTTCAGTGGTTTCTGTTTCTATAAATTCATTATAATTTTATTTCGACTGTAATTTCTTCACTTGTTTCTTTTATTTTTTTTTATAACGAAGTGCGAGATGTTGATACAGATTAGAAACTGAATAAAAAAAACAGAAAACCATATCTTAATTCAGAAAGTAAATTATCTGTAAAAGCAATTAAACACCCAAAATTTAAGTACAAAATTTTAATTTCCCACATTTAGAAACGTGACATATCAATTATGATAGAGTTAGCACAAAGGATCACATATTAAGTGTAATAAACTTAAAATAAGACCCAAAACTCGAGCGCTTTCGAATAGCTGACTATTCTTCTTCAGGAGAACAATTATTACATTATAGGTTATTCTCTGATAAGAAATAACTTATAAGGTAATTAATAACCCTCTTTAGCGTAAGACTTACATTGTTGAACAAACATTTTAACTTCATGGTTAAAATATTCATCGGAAAGCATTTCTTAAATCATATGTTCATATTCAATCATCTGTTGTAAAGAAACTAGGACTTGAGGATGATGTTTTAACTTCCTGAAAGAGTTAGTTTACATAAGTTTTGTGTAAATTCAGTTTTTTTAAATTTTCTTTCTGTTCAGAAACATAAATTTCTCAGAAAGTTTTATAAAAACAAACAAAAAAAAATTATTTTTTTCTTACAATGCAAAAGAGGAGACCTTTCCGGATTGAAATCTTAAATCCTTGTTGTGAGCGAAATATTCCACTCTTTCAGTCTAAAGTGCAAATACCAGAAAAGAGGACACGTAACAATAAAAAAAATATTTATTTTTAAGATTTAGTTTCAAAAACGAACCAAACACATTCATTCTTGGACTCCAGTTTCTAACATCAGTGATTAGGATCCGTTGTAAGATCCCAGCTTGTTATTTAAAATATTTTATTACCTTTAGGGACCAGGTGAAAAATAAATATAGTTATTATTGTTATTTTTAAAACATTTAAGGCCAATAAACTATTCTGAGGTTAAATATGGGATGCTGTAATTTCAATTTTGAAAGTTTTATATTTTAATTAATAAACACGAAACACTGTTCTGTACTATTATTTATATATATTATTATTATTATAATACTATTAAGGAAGTTTAAATCGCCACCTTTTTTAACCAGATTTTTATTTTTCTTGGACAAATAGTAACTATAAGGGTGTGTAATTATTGTGGTTTGTTAATTGTTATGGAGTGAGTTCGGATTGTGAGGGCGAGTATGTTTTCGTGATGGGATTTGAACTCGTGACACGAGTGGAGTGCCTTAATCACCAAGCTATGCTAGGCCTAAACCCAATCGGAAATGAGAATAATAATAATAGGTTGTTTTTTCTTCTATTTACGTCACTTTCACATCGACTAGTTTATTACTGCCAGCTAGAAACCCTTTTCTTTTGTTGATTAACAAACAGAATCTTTAATGATTTAAAGAAAGAGTTCATATTATTTCAATAGCTTAGTTCAGTGGTTTCAAGATATGACGCCATCTTGATCTTTCAAACTATTCGTCACAGCTGTGCAAGGCTGGGGTTGGTTCTTATTAAGCACAAAGCTGCATAATGGGCTATCTGTACTCTGTCCACCAGAGGTATCGAAACCCGATTTCTAGCGTTGTAAGAAATATACCAGACAATAGTAAAAGTCCTCGAAACCTTCCAAAAAAGTTTTTATTTATTGTTTTGTTTAAATATTAAAACATTTACAAATATTTTCATTGAAAACAGTTAATTTTCAGATATTTTCCCAGGTGGGTTAGCGGTAAGGATACGGACTCTCAATGCTAAACTTCGGGGTTCGATCTCCCGCATACTGCCCACTGTGTATTTTTGCCTTACATAAATAAGACAACTTTAAGATGTTTTGCCGTTTCACATTGCTGAAGTTATCAACAGCTGCTTAATACATGAGTGGCTCAGCGGTAAGTCTACAGTCTTAAGACGCTAAAAATGGAGTTTCGATACCCGTAATGGGTAGAGCACAGATAGCCCATTGTATAGCTTTATGTTTAACAACAAAAAAAAACAAATGAATAGATCAGATCTCACAACCGCTCGAATTCGGGGTCCAATACCTGCGGTGAGACGCGCGCAGATAACCCGTTGTGCATCTTTGGTCATAACATTAAACAAAAACACGGCGTTAGTTGTAATAAAAAAAATATATATATTTACAGAAACACATTTATCCACTCGAAAGTGTTTTTATAACTTTTTTTTTTTTTTGTATTCTATAACTAGCGAACCCTAACTGGCATGTACTGTTAAGCTATATTGGCTAGCACGAAAATAAACTTCTCCGGATTTGCCGATCTCCTAGTTTTCTTTCTCTTTAAAAATGAAGTTTTGGTGGATCACTAAAGACATTTTTAAATGGTCATTTTACGAATTTGACTGGAAATGCCATTTTGGTTTGGTTTTGAATTTCGCGCAAAGCTACGCGAGGGCTATTTGGGTTAGAAGCCAGCTAGACCACACCCACCCATCGCCAACTCTTGGGCCACTCTTTATAACGCCCCCCACGGGGATTCGAACTCGCGACCCTCAGATTTCGAGTCGAGCGCCCTCTAACCACCAAGACATGAACTTTTCCTGACCCGAGTAAACACCTTACCAAATTGCACGAAACTTATTACAAATGGTCTCCAGTTTCGCTTTGAAAACTAAAATCAGGGGTTAGATTCTCCTGGGTGACACAGCAGAGATCCCGATGTGGTTTTGCCATAAGAAAACACACGCGCTTTGAAATAATTCATATAATTAAATTTAATATTTCTATCATTTTTGTCAAATTTCCGAAATTTTATTGTGAGACACGGTTTTAAAAAAAAATACAATAATAAATACTTCCTTCCGTCAAAAATATTTCTATTGCTCACAAAGTTCTGTTGTATATATATATATATATTCAGTACTGAGAAAGAATGACGTCACAATTATCTTGACATTTGCTTAAAAAAATAATAATTTATATCTTTAAAAATGTCGTTTATTTTTTTTTCAGTAGATAATAAATTAT